GCAGAGAGCCCGATGTGGGGCTCGATCCCAGGACCCTGAGATCATGACCTGAGCCAAAGGCAGAGGCTTTAACCCACTGAGCCACCCAGGGGCCCCTCCTTGTTTTTTAAATGTCATTGTGCTTCTGTGTGTCTGACAAACCCTCCCAGGTTTGAAGACACATGTTAAAAATATCGATCATGTCACTCAATAAAGCAATTTATTTCATTAATTAAAACAAAAGCTGTCACTATTACAATAACAGTATCTGTAAAAGACACATATTTCTGCAAGCCACTGAACTAAAGTATTTTCCGATTATAAATGTCCTGCATGACACAGAGGACGCTTTGAAAACTGCAGCAAAGCATTAAGAAAAAAATATTGTCAACACTTTTTAATTGAAAGTAGATTTAGTTTCAGATTGAGATATGTGGCCTGCTCGAGGTAACTTTTAGATAAATAGGGTGAGTTTTAGGTTGGGACATTTTGTTTTGTTTTGTTTCTGTATACAGATATCCAGCCTCATTTGGTTTTGCATATATCACATTTTGTTGTGGTGGTGGTTTTTTGTTTGTTTGTTTGTTTTCGTTTTTTTAAAAGATTTTATTTATTTATTTGACAGATAGAGCTCACAAGTAGGCAGAGAGGCAGGCGGTGAGGTGGTGGGAGCAGGCTCCCTGCTGAGCAGAGAGCCCGATACGATACGGGGCTCTATCCCAGGACCCTGAGATCGTGACCTGAGCCGAAGGCAGAGGCTTTAACCCACTGAGTCACCCCAGGCACCCCTGGTTTTTTTTTTTTTTTTAAGTGGTTCCTCTAAGGATTACAGTACACACATTCTTCACTTTTCTCAGTGTACATGGAGTCGATATTTTACCATTTGAGCTGGAATGTAGAAACCTCATTGACATATGTGCCCCTTGTCTCTCTTCATGTTGGGTTTATGTCAGGTACGTTGCAAACCTTGTGAGGCAATGTTGTCATTTTCTGCTTCCAGCCGTTACACATGTTTGAGAGAACTCAAGAGGAGTAGAGGAGTCTGTTACATTTATACTCACCCATATGTTTGCTTTTCCTTGGCTCTTCCTCTCTTCTTGATGTTACATTTTCTTCTAGTATTAAATTCCTCTGTCTGGAGAACTTCCTGTAGCAATTCTATGAGAATGGGTCTGTTGACAATGATTTTTTTTTTTTTTTTTTTTTTTTTTAGCTTCTTTAGTATCTCACCTTCATTTCTTTTTCTTCCCTTTTTAAAAAAGATTTTATTTATTTATTTATTTATTTGCCACAGACAGAGATCACAAGTAGGCAGAGCAGCAGGCGGGGTGGGGAGGAAGCATCTCCCAGCTGAGCAGAGACCCCGATGCAGGGCTCGATCGCAGGACCCTGGGATCATGACCTGAGCCAAAGGCAGAGGCTTTAACCCACCAAGCCACCCAGGTGCCCCTCACCTTCATATCTAATGGCTGTTTTTAATGGAATTACAATTCTGGATTGACACTTCTTTCAATGCTTAAAAAAACCATGTGCCACCTTCTTCTGGACTTCCTGGTTTTTGTTTGTTTAAATGAGAAATCATATAGTTATTTGAATGGTTCATCTCTCACAAATAATGCATCATTAGTCTCTGGCTATATTCAAAGTGTGCTTTAGTTTTATTATTTTCTTTGTTTTGTTTTTTGGTTTTTAGCTGTTTGATTATATCTAGCTGTGAATTTCTTTGGGTTTACCTCTTTAGGGTTTGCTGAGCTTAAATTTATAGGTTTATGTCATTTGCCGAACACGGGGAATTTTTAGCTATTATTTCTTCTAACAGTTTTTGTGCAGTGAAGTCTCTTTATTCTAGAATTCCAGTGACATGAGTGTTGTATCTTTTGGTATTATGCGACAGGTCCCTGGATTTACTTTTCTCTCTCCGTTGTTTAGATTAGGTACTTTTTATTCTTATGTATTCAAGTTCATTGAGTTTTTTCTGCTCACTCCATTCTACATTTGAACTCATTCCCTGAGTATTATTATTATCGTTATTATTTTTTCATTTAGGCTATTGTTCTTACAGTACTAAAATTTCCATTTGAGTCTTCTTTGTAGCTTCAGTTCCTTTGCCAACACTGTCTTTTTTTGTTTGTTTTTTGTTTTTCATTTGCTTTCCTGTGTTTTCCCTTACTTGTTGGAACAGTTCTAGAATAGCTGCTTAAAATCTTTATTTGACCATTTCAACATCTGTGTCATCCCCACGTCAGTGTCTGTGACTGTCTTTGCCCGTGTGAGTTTAGGTTTTCTGGTTTCTTTGTATGCCTAGGAATTCTGGTTGTATCCTAGGTAGACTGAATACTCATGTTATGATACTTCGGGTCTTATTATAACTGTGGAAATTGGTGATATTTTTGCATTAGCAGGCAATCGATCCAGTTAGATTCAGGCCGGAAGTTCTTACCTTCCTTCTGTGGATTTTGTTTCCAGTATCATTTCTGCTGTCAAAGACTTTCTGTAATAGTTGGATCTGTCCCACATGTGTGCGTCCCAGTGGCCAGTCTGGCTACCCGAGCAGTGGTCTGCCCAGTTCAGCTCACAAAGTCTGTGGTAACTGTTGGGGTCATACGCAGATACGTGTAACTCGGGTGAGTGTCGAGTTCATAAAAGCAGTATGTGGTATCATTTCCCCAAACTCTTTCCTTCCTTCCAAACTCTTTCTAGGATCCTCAAAGTATTTTTTTTTTTTTAATTTCCTAGGGCTCCCCTTTCTTGTTCTCTAGCCAGAGAGCTGGTGCTTTTTTACCCTGTTCTTGTGCTCCTATGATGAAGCCTGCCTTTGTGACCAAGTGGAAGAGAACAGAGAAATCAGGTGGTGGGAATTCGCTACCTACTGGTACCAGAGCATCTCACATCACAAAGAAGTTTTGTCTCCTCCAGATCTTGGGCATCTCTCTCTATCTGTATTTTGATGCTTAATCCTGGGTTCTAGGCCACCTTGAACCCATGCCAGGGGAGGGGGGCAGAACCCACCACGTGTCTAGTGGTACTTTGAATTCTCTCTTCTTGCCCACCCCACCTGCTTACCTTGCAGAGACTGCAAATGGTCTGCACTGAGTGGAGGGAGACTGGGTGAAGTGGGCTTCTTCCATCCTACCTAAAACCAGAATCTCCTCACCTGCTTCATTTACTATACTGTGGGAACATACACATAAAATAAAATTTACCATCAATTTAGGGACATTAAATACATCCACAATATTATGCAGCCATCCCTCTCTAGTGTGAGAACTTTTTCATCTCCCCAAATGGAAACTACAAACCCCTGAAGCTGTCCCTTCTCACGGCTTCTTCCCCAAATCCCCTGGCCACAACCAATATGCTTTCTGTCTTTGTAAACTTGCACCACTTCATTTTTTAACAGTTTCTGGAGATAAAGTTTGCATAGTATTAAGTCACTTATTTCAAGTGTATAAACCACTGTGTGTCTGTGTTTTGTATATTTATAGAATTGTACCCATTTTCTTTTGAATATTTTAGAGTATTTCCTCCGAGTTTTTTTTTTCTGTTATCTTTCTTTCTTCTTTTTAGTGATCTCTTTTACTAGTTTTTTTTTTTAACAAAACAGGAATTATAACATGTGTGCACCTTTCTACCTTCTTTTCTCAAAAATTACATATTGCGTTTTGAGCATTTCCCATTTCTGTTTTTCAAAACTGTGGTTCCAAATGCTGCACGTTGTGCCATCATACGAATGTACTATAATTTATTTTGTATTTTCCCATTATTACACATTTTAATATTTACAATTTTTTCTTTCACACATAATGCTGTAGCTAATTGACATATAAATAAACATCTGTTTATATCTCTTCTTATTTTCTTAGGTGCTACTCTCAGAGGTGACGTTTCTGGGTTAAAGGGCATTGGCAAAACACCGATTTATGGATTTTGGGGTTCTGGCCTATCCAAAATAAAGCTTCTTGTTTTTGTTTTTGTTTTGGAGAAAGTACAAAGAAGCTTTCAATACAAAATACATAAAATATACATCAAAAGTCAGTTCCTAAACCTTTTTATCCTTTAGTAAAGGTTTCAAAAACTTGCAATATATTGTCAGATGTAAGGAGTCAGGTGTTGCTGCGTTGAAAAAAAAAATACGAGAAATACATAGAATCCAGTGTGAAAGCAGACTCAGATTTTACTCCAGCTCACTATCTGAGCTGAAGGTAGAGTGCCAGTCCCCACAAAGGTAGAGTGGCCATATGTCACAGTCTGCCTTGTCACTCCCGCTTCACGTCTGCTGTCCCTAGCATCATCGCTGATGCCACCCTACCCTCTCCTCCAACTCACATCCATTTTTCCTCTTTGGATATTACGTTAGTGGTCACTCTCAAGAAACATCCTTGATTTTTAAGAAGTACATTTTGGTAAGGGGAAGGTCATCGAGGCATGGCATATGTATCATGAATGTCTCTTTTTTGAGCTTACGATAGATATCACAAATTCATCAGAATTTCTTTGATATGAGCATGTCCTCGGAATTCTCCCCAACACAGTTATATGGGGACTTAACTATGGTATGATTAGAACTGGGCCATAAAATGGAGCCCATTTGCCAAGGCATGTAGGTGACACTATTGGTCCTTGACAGGGGACAAGATGTCATGTGTTGGCCAGTGCCTAGCCCCAACCGTTTTGAGTGGGCTTTCAGTGAAGAGTGGCCAGCACCCTTAGGGCAAGAGGGACCTTCACACGGAGGGAAACCATCATTCCTGGGCAGATTTTCCTCCCACGCCCTCTTCGGGATCTCTCTCCTCATTGTTCTTCAAGACTCTGGCTCAACCTAGCTGTATTTCTGGATCACACGACTGAAAATCCAAGTGAAGCTCTGACTGTGTAGACCTAAAGGAAAAAAATTAAATGCGTAATTAATTAATTCTGGGTCTGCTTTGAGCTGAGTGATTAGAAGCAACTTTCCGTTTTCTTTCATGTTGTTTTTGTGCAGAACCTGCTGATTTCCCCCCCTCTTTTTCTTTCCTTTGTAGGTTTCAAGACAACAGATGAATTGTGAAAGAGAGCAGCTAAGGGTAGGTGCATTTTCCAGTAAAATACTTCCTGGTTCTCATTTCTGTATGATAAGCAAAAATTTCCTTGTCTCTCCCAAGACACAGGGTTCTAAATAGCGGGCTTCTTTTTAAGACTGGTAGAGTTGAAAATATTTATCCCAGCTAATTTAGTATTGATTGAGCTGGTAAATACAGTATATCTTCTTTTGAAGTGCCATTATAGTAGATATGGATTTTTTGATTTAGATTCAGCAATAAATACTTTCTTCTGGAATTTGTTTGACATCATTGTACTCTTTTTATGTACAACACGAGGTCTGAGTAATAACAAAGGTCAAAAGGATGTCTTGCTGCCTTCTTAATGTGAATACCCGGCTGTTTGCTGAGTGGCTGAAATGCTCTCTTGCTGTTAACCAGGATGGGTGAGCCACGAATATGTCAAGGGCATTTTCTGGGAGAATTCGAGTCCTCCATAGAGCTTTTAGTTTTAGTGGCATTTATGTATGTAGAAGAAAGAGGCAGAATTTTAAACTCGTATGCTATTCACTTTCTTAAAAATGAAGCTTTCTCAGTGCTCACGAGTTAGGGATAATAAGTGTTCCCCGGATGAGGGGAGGGTAGTTTGCTTATAAAGAAAGAGAGCTGGTTGAAACTGTTCTCCTCATGGTATCATGGTTGATATCCTTCTTGGTGTGGATATGGTATTTTAAGAAACATCAGGATTTTCTCCATCCCCCCCATTGTTTTTTGTTGGTGGTGGTGGTTTTTTTTTTTTTTTTTTTTTTTTTTAAATGCACTCCTGTTTTGGATGGATGACTTTGAAATCATAATTAGCCCAGTTTTAATGTCGCTGATGGAAGTTGGCAATTTTTACCGGACAGTGTGCCTTATCATCGTGTTGCCATATTCAAAAATCTGGAGGAATATACTGCTTTTAAAAGCATCACAGCGAGGTTTGGGGTTGAGGTACCATTGTGCTCGAAGGGATCTAATGCATCGGAATAATTTATTAAACCAGTCTAATGTCATTTATACACAGCCTTGTAACTTTTCAGAGCATTTACTTAATGCCGGTCTCAAGATGACAATGATTTGTAGAGTTCTTTCCATTTTACAATTGCTGTTGGCATCAGGTTTGTTAAATCCTTGTGTAAAACAGAGTCTGGTTGCATGGAACTGAGAGAGTGAGTCGTGGATGTCTTCTTTTATGCATATTTATTTTATGTGGTCTCCCAGCATGGCCCTCTCTGTTAACCTCTCATCTATACCTACTTCATTCCTAAGTACCTGTGCCTACATTAGCTGTGACTCCTTCGTGAAATAGCCTTCAAGATGTTTTAAGCTTTCCCGAGCTCTCTTATTGCTTTTTCCCTGCAGTCTGAATTACTGGTTCATCCTGGTAAATAATGTATTGCAACTTCAGATTTCTCTTCCTGTTTGGATGAGGACGATGGCCAGAACTAGGTCAGAGCTAGATAAAGAGGAATGCAAGCTTTTGTCTCCAGGATCCCTGATAAATTCCTCAGAATTAAGATAATCCTGAAATCTCTATTGCAAATGAGACTCGCCTGGCAAATGCAGGACTCCTGAGGTAATGGAGTGCTGGTGCGCAGTTTGAGGGGTTTATTATTTTGCATTGATGAGGACATTGTCAACAGGGGAGGGGTTTACGAACAAGAATGGCGCCCTCCCCACTCTGTTGAATAAATTCAAGCAGGTTTGATACAATGGGTCATATAGTTCAGTCCCCTCGTGGCTCCAATAGCCCCATATAAAATTATCTCTAATACCATGAATTGGTGCTTTGTTTGTCATTGCTATTACAGTTTTTGTTTTTATATCTTCAACTAATTTATGTTGTGAATCAATAGAAAACACATTTAAATTGATGGAATGCACATTTCTGTGGTTTAAAATTTAAATGATACCAAAGGGAATGCAGTGAAGACTTTCTTTCTGGTTTGAATCTTAGGCATGTAGTCCCTTCCTGGAAGTCGCCCAATGTTACTGTGCAGTCTGGCCTTCCACATCTGCGGGTATTTACTCCGTCTCCGCCTTGTCTTCCAGTCCTAGCTGTGTACTCAGCCCCTCTACTACCTGAAAAGAGAACTTTCTTGATTAAGGTGATGGCATTATTTTGGGGGACAGGGGTCCCTGGAAGAAATGTGGTTCTGATTTGAAATGCTAATACGTGGCCTTCTCAATGAAATGCAGTTTCCTTAATCTCATTTTTTTCTTCTTAGAAAGAGAGCCAGTGGGAGAAAAACAGTTATCTGTTTAGTTACCATCACCATTTCAGAGTGCCTGCCTGCCAGCTACACTTTCAAAAGTATGTTTTTAACACAGCAATCAAGCTGCGTTTCCAGATTTGCTGTACAAGATGACCAGACCGTAGGCATGTGGTCAAGTTCATATTTCTTCATTAGTTCATTCTGTTATGTTGTCAGAATTCAGGGATGCAAGCAGGTAATTGTAAAATGCATCCCTTTTTCTTGGCCTCCTGGAAACAGCAGCTAATGCAGAAAGGTACAGCTGCTCTTTCCGTTTTGTGTGTGTGGGCACTGTGCAGGGACTAGCATGTCCCAGACCTGCCCCTCTGCTTTCCTTTCTCTTTCTCACAAATTCTAAATTATTTTCTTTCCAAAATGGACTCTGAGGTACATGTTTCGTAAGATATTACAGATCTGAAACAAATCCTCTGATTTAGTTAATTCTCTAATTAATTTTTTAAAAAGTTGAAGAAAGGCAAACTTTTTTTTTTTTTTTTTAAGATATGTGTAGGACTTCTCAGAGCCTTTAATATGCAAAGGTGAAGTACAGGGAAGTGGAGATAATATGCAGTGTTTCGTAAAATCATCTGATCACAGAACATTTTTGGATGCAGAATACAGTCTGAGAAACACTCCTGAAAATCAGATCAGTTTTTAATTTTTTTCCCCAGCTAGGATGTCGTAGTCTATAAATACAGAAAAGCGATGCATTATTTAAAGTATAAAAACATTTCATCATTTCCCAATGCCAGGGCTGACTCAGTGGACTTCTGGTGTTAGCACAGTTGTTTGGAATCTCTGTTCTTCTCTTGGCCTTTCTCTGCTTCTTCCAAGATGAAGGACAAGCGTCCCTTCCTCCCATGACATTCTCATTGGGAAGGAGGGGAAGAGGAGGTTTTTCCTCATAGCTCTTGCGTTTAGTTGGAGGAAAATCATTCCGGGAAGCCGCCTCTGTGGACGTTCTCTTTCACTGCATCGGCCAGTCTCTATGCCAATCACTCCTACTGTCTTGGGATCTCAGTGATTGGCTCTAACAGCCATGAGTCATCCCAGGGGACAGGCCCATTGTCACCTGATCATATACAGGATTTGTGGATCTCTTTGGTGGAATTACCCAGTAGAGTCTGCCACAAAAGGAATTCGCATGGGCCCTGTGTGTCCCTCATGGTGTTGCTTCCTGCCAGCTCCTTTCAGTGCTCCCTTCCATCCCACACACACGGAGCCACATCTAAAGCCTCAGGAAGTGCCCGAACTCTGGCCCATGGAATTTCGTAGATGCTTTCTCTGCCGACTTCTCACAGATCACATCTCCCCATTCCAACTCTTCTACCCAGCTAGGTCCTCCCTCTTATTTTGCCTTATGTTCTTTGGAACGAGCCCAGGTGCAGTCTTTTTTCATTTCCCCTCAGCAGCAGGATCTGACGGTGCACTCACCCCAGCACCCAGCTTATCCCCAGAGATACTGTCCGTGAGCATCCCGGTCCCTACTCTTCCCAAGAGAAGAGCCTCATTCTGTTACTCCTGACCCATCATCTACCCTTCTCAGAAGGAACTCACATTCCTAGTGAGCAAACTACAGAACAGAAAACCCATTTATCCCTCCATCCCACGTTTTGGCTGAACCTTCCTCTGGGCTTCAGATCGCCACTGGGTTCTGCTGGGCAGTCGATCCACCAGTGCTCGCCATGTGATCTGTGCATTAAGAGCTCCTGACTCCAGGGGCTGGACCTACCACCTGGTCCCTGCATCACTGCTGAATGACGCCAACAGGTCGGGTAGCGCTCATGGTGCAGGTACCATAATCCAGCCACCAACACTTACTTTTCTGGCATCTGGAATGACAAATGGAGAGAAAAACAAGGGAGAGAGAAATCATGTGACTTTAGTAGCCTTCTGTCTCCCTCAGTGACCTACGAACTGGAAAGATGGTGCGGTCACAGGGTAAGGGAATAAATGCCCACGTTGGTTAGCATTCACATAAAATATCTGGTTACGAAGGGATCTTTTGTGCTATGAGTATCTGACGTTGGTTTGGAGACTGTTCAACATGTTGGATAAGAACCCTACGAACCAGGCAAAGGCTTGGCTCCTGTGTGGGTCTGTATCTGTTCACGGACCAAAATCTTTATCAGCAAAATGGCAAATGGATACCATGGGGGTGGTCAGCATGGCATGAGGGGTGGTTAGGGGTGGTCAGGAGCTCTAGGGATATTGACTTAGCTTCATATCTCAGATCTGAATCTGCCCTACATTTTTTAACGCTTCAGTTTCCCTGTGTGTAAGATAGGGATTCTTTCTCTCCGGATTGTTGATCAGATGAGATGACTTATGTGAAACAGTTCAGAAAAAATGTATGCCTCTTAATGAGCAACATTAGCTGTTGTTAATATAGTAGTCTTCCCAATGATTCTCTCATTCCTCTCCTACAGAGAATACAGACATCCAGAGTATATCCATTCCCAGTCAAACCCCGACATTAAAAACAAACAAACAAACAAACAAACAAAACCCTCAAAGGACAGGTTCCATAGAAGAAAAGTGCCTCTCACTTAGCTAAGCAAATAATAAGGACTGATTCAGGTTAGCCTATGCAGAAAAGGCATACGAACCAGGCCTCCCAAGGAGCTTAGCATCAGAAAGCTGTCAGAACTCTCTCCTCCCTCATCTTGATTTCTGCTGGTGGGCCCACTCTAGAATTTTCTTTTGCAAAAGGATCTCTCCCTTTTTTAAGCTTATGGCACCTTTCAGCCC